ACCACATTTATATTTCAAGCTCACTCATACTTATTCTGAATGGTTAGGAGACAAAAGAAAAAAGAAAATCACAAAGAAGAGACGTTCCCTTTTCTTTTTGGCCAAACGAATAAAGCATACCTAATAACCTTTTCTCTCCTTTGTTCATATCAACAATTGAAAATCACTGAGAGAAAAGGTTAAAATGGCCGGTTAGTGAAATAAAAAATAAAAAATAAAAATTGATCCAGTACACAATGTATAAGTGTTATCCTTTGAACCATTTTGTGCTTACGTTTGTGTTTGAGAAAATTAGTTCTTAATTCTTATTATTATTTTTTATATTATTCAACAATTTATCGACTAATTTGATTCCAGCGGATATAATTACATAAGTGAAAAAAGGTCTTGTCAATTCTCAATTTGTATTATTTCTCAAAGCCCAGATTTGCAAAAGTGTTTACAAGAAAATCCTAAGTGGACTGACTTTACCTTTTTTTAGGATTTTCTCCATGATCTATGGTGTGGTGTGGTGTTCGTAAATTTTCACAATTCTACTCTTCTAATATCGAGAAATTAATCTCGAAGTTTTGTGACTATTACTTGGAACTAGTACACCAAACAATATGGCAACGAGAATGACGAACAAAATGCTCATGTCAAGACTCTTGCTTGCAAGGCAATTATCTCAAACCTTTGTGTTGATCTCTTCATTATTGATGCTTGTATTGATATATATGATTTCTTTTGTGTTACCCCATCGGAACTTCATTTTCTTGATGTGGGGATCACGAAAGCATCTCTTGCCTCTTGCTTGTTGCCTTCAACTACTAAATTTTTCGTTAGTGAGTATACTCAATCCCCAAGTCTCTCTAAACATGGACTTACTTTATTAATCTAAATTAAATCATGATCAGTTATTCTCCAAAGACGTTTTTGTACTTCGGTTGTTTATCATAAAAGAATAGGGGTTAAATGTGTATTCTTTTAGATTTTTACATTAGATACTATAATTACATGCAGTGCATAATTATAATATTTTTTTTTTCTCTTTTCACTTCAAGTGAAGTGACTGAAGAAAGATAAAAAAGAAATAACTTTTCATATTATAACTATATACTACTCGTAATATATAGTGTTAAAAATTAAAAAGACACAATTTATATCATTTAATAGGACAAATTTATTTTTCCAAAGAATAATGCATGTGGAAAGTAATCTATCCCCACCCACCAAACAAACAAAACCTTAATAAAGAAAAAAAAGCTGGTTAGAAAAGGTTCTTAAAAAGTGGAACGTATTCCTTGAACAAAGGATGCCCTTTTCAACAAGGATAACATAACTCGCTACTTTGGTCCAACATGAAAATTTTGTTTCAGAGATCTAAAACTCAACACTTTTTAAATTAATCTCAGAGAAGAGTAATGGTTCAGAGTATTTGTGGATTATATTAGACTAGTTTTGCAGGGGGAAACTAATCGATTCAATTTAATTAGTTTTATTATAATATCAGTTAATTATTTTGGTTTAAAATATAAATTTATTTAATTTGTCCGGATTAGATTAATTTTTAAAATATTAATAAAAAATATTTATCCTGAGAGATAAAATTAGCTTTAAACCTTAAAATAACGTCTTTTAGAGTTTGGAAAAAAAATAAAATTTTGAGAATTTTATTTTTCTCTTATACCAAAAGTTTTTTTAAAATACCTTTTGTTTTTCTTTTTAAAACTCAAAATAATGTAATTTTGAGTCTTGGAAAATAATTTTAATATATGTCGCAGAGAAACATTAAACCCATTTTTTTAATATTTGTATTCATCAAATTACAAAAAATATAATTTCATTAAAATATATATACAAGTCTCAACTAAATCATTAGAAAATAAATTAAATACAAATTTAAAAAAGTTCATTAAAAATTTAAAATTATAAATTCAAATATAAGAAAAAGAATGAATTTTGACACGAGATAAAAGAAGTTTTTAAAACAAGTATAGATGATAAAAGTTTTTTAGAAAAATATTATCAATTTATATATATATATATATGGTTTGCTTTTTCTACTGAACATAGATAACTTATGTAATGGTCAAATTTCAAAAAATAAAATAAAATAAAATAAAATAAAATTAAAAATTTTCTATGCTCCCCGCGCCAAGGCAGCGCTCTTTACGCCCAAAATCAGGCGTTGAGCGCTGAACAAGCGCAATTATTAGCTTGGATATGTAGATACATATATAATTACTTATATATATATAATAATTGTAAAATAATTATATATAAATAAATAATAAATATAAAAAAATATAATAAAAAAAAATAACATAGTAATAAATAAAATATTAAAATAATATATATATATATATATATATAAATAGATAAGTATATATATGCAGAACAAATTAATAAATTGAAAATAAATGACAGAAACTAAAAATGCTACGTGGTAACACCCCACATCTCCAGCACAACGAAAGTATATGATTCTTTTAACAAATTAATCATTAGATGAGATAGATATTATCTAGGAAAATAAGAGATTACGTGATATAAGTTTACATAATCTGTACACATAATATATTCCTCTTTATATAAATACGTTCCTGACGAAAGGAAGAAGATTAAAGACAAAGAATAAGAAAGAACATAAGGAAATCTTAAGAGAGAAAAATAAGAGAAATCGGGAGGAGAAAGAGAAATAGAATCAAAAGAAGGTACTATTGGGTTATGAAAAAACGTTTTCTCGCTTTTTTTTCAAAACAAAGATTAATTTACAAGTCATCGTCGTTCTACCAAACTTTTCTCTTTATTTATTCTTTATAGTAGTTTAATTTCGTTCAGTGATTTCATTTCTTACAGAATCTTTAGTTTCTTTTAAATTTTATTTCTTTTCACATACTGATTATCTAGTGGAGTAATTAATTGATACCAAATAATTATGAAGAGAATTTGTAAATTTATCTGATGAAGACTGCTATAAACTGAACCCCATAGTTTGGGTTCAGACAATGATAAGGTAAGGGATGCCTTATCATGGTTTGAGCTCCTCCACGATAAATCTTTCATATGCAGAGAACCACAATGTTGGAAAATTATTTAGCTTAAGTTAAATATTACACAATGCATTATTTATTATATTACTTCATTTTATTAAATTATCTGAAATAATGGTATTTTCCATTATTACGGTTAGAAATGATTATAGTGAGAAAACCTCAATATTACTGAGAATTTTCTCACGTTTGTTTATTTTTATGCAAACCTTTCCAGAGAATCATAATGCCTAGTCTAAGCTTATCAGATGAAGGATGGGGTATCAAATATCAATGTTTACTCTTACGATGACCACATGGAGTTCTATATTATAGTAGGAAATCAAGGAGCTGCTGCAATATTTTATGCTGAAAGTGTTGAGACCTACACCTATAGATTAGATTAGGATAAGACTTTAGTGTTGTATAATTATGTAATGCCAAGATGTAAAATATGGGAATAGATCCACTTACCACAAAAAATGTTTACAACCTTTACAACTAACGTAATCACCGTTGATTTCCGTCAATCTAACGGCTATCATTTATTGGAATTAATAAATAATTAATAAATACGACCAAATAATTTCTAATAAATGATAACCGTTAGATTGACGGAAATCAACGGTGATTATGTTGGTTGTAAAAGTTGTAAACTTTTTTGGTGGTAAGTGGATCCGTTCCCGTAAAATATAAGTTAAAATGATGCAATATATAGTAGAAGGTAGAATCAATGTAAAATAATTTCCGTATGTACCTGACTTGATATTATGTATAAAGTAATGTTGGTAGATATTTATATAGTCTTTTATTTTATTTTTCTTATCATCAATATTAAAATTTAATAAATCAATCTATATTAATTAATAACATTAACACCTATCCATTTTATATCTTACTGTTTATACATAAAGAGAAAACATAAATTTAAAGAAATCATGTAATATTCCTTATAAGAATTAATATTAAGGGATGTTGCAACTTATCTATACAAAACGTCGTCTTTTTGAGACGGAAATTAAGGTATTTTTATAATTATAATTTATTTCAGAATTATAATAGTCTTTTTTATTATAATTTTTTAATTTTTCGATGCAAAACGACGTCGTTTTGGGTGTGAATGTAGATAACTTATTTACATTTACTGTAGAAACATTAAAGCCATATATATATTTGTTTTGAATTGTACTAATTTTTAATTCTGAATTTAAAAACCAATCTGATTTATTTATTTTTTCAAAATTTTAACGTTAATTGGTTATTTCTGTTTTGAACGCTCTTAATAGTGTTACCTAGTTAGGAAGATTAATAAATTCATATATAATTTGTTAAAATTTAATAACAAAATCAAAGTTATAGAAATCATTCGTCCACTCAATGGTCCATAACAAAATCAACTCATTCAAATACAAATTCTAAAAGAAAATTATGACTATATATTAAATATTCTTCTTCAAAGAGTATAAATTTAGCTGCATTACAATTTTCTTAAAGGATAAATGTTCATAAGTGACGGGAAATAAGAAATTATACGCAACAAGAAAAAAAAACATGGTATAAATACTATACGCAACAAGAAAAAAAAATCAACATATAAAAAAGGAATAGATATTGTGACACACAAGTAATGTTACGCACAATGTTACGACCATATCTTAACCGTTGATTTCCGTCAATCAACGATTATCATTTTTCAAATCGAACTCATTAATTAATTATTAATTCGCAATAAATGATAACCGTTGATTGGCGAAAATCAACGGTTAAAATGTGATCGTAATATTGTGCGTAACATTATTTGTGTGTCAGAATATCCTATCCCTATAAAAAATGATATTGTTGTATGTACCCAGAAAAAATTTAGCACATCAGAATCACTAATCAGCTTAAATTTTTTTAAAAAATAATAATAAAAGATAAAAGAAGAAGTAGCAATATTTGGACCGTGTCGTAGAGGAAACTCGATCATATAGAGCGAGCGTAACAAATTAAGGCTCCAAACACCGATCTTCACGCAAAGCTCCTTGTAGATCTGCAGATTCCACTGCAATCATTTCTAAACCAAGCAAAAGAGTTTTATTTTTCTCTGGCTCCTTCGAATCGAAGGAAAATTTATCCATGCTGATTTCTGAAACACTTGTGTGTTCTTAGCGGAATTCTGAAGCTGCAAAAGTCTAGAGACTAGAGAAAGGGTATTGCGTGCCCAAGAGGAAAGTTTCCTTTTTTAGTATGTGAGCAATAATGGGGTCTGGAAATAAAGCTCCTTCTTCTTCTGGGCGCACTGAAATGTCTATCTCAGGCGAGTCTTTTGGTTTTACTTCAATATTTTGCTATCCTACCAATTTTTCTCTATATTTTGATTCTCTACGTTGAAAATTCTTTTATTTTTATTTTTTTCAATCACTGTTTTAACATTCATTATCATATTAGATTTTCGTTAGTTTTAATTATTCTCTATTCTGGTAGACTTTTTCTGTGGGGAATTTGCTATGAAATCCCTGGCCTTGCTTTTTGGATCTGTGAAATTGTTTGTATTTTTCTCTTAGTTTGGGTGGGGACTGGTAAGACTCTTTAAGGATTTTGCCAAATGGATTGGTGATCATGTATGGTGGACGAGGGTTTTCAATACCCTTTTTTTTTCAACAGTTCTTGGAAAGCATCCACTTTTTAGTTTATAGTGTCTCAGTTTCACGTTAATTTGGATATGCTAGGGAACGGTTTTTAAAGGGGCCGACGGGGTCATGGGGAAATTAATTGATCATGACTTGTAATGTAAGATTGTGAGGGAATTTGTTATGGATGGGTGATAATTCATAAAATGTTTGTCTTCTGAAGTGGGGGAGTGGCAAGTGAAGAATTCAATTGACCTACTTACTGTTCCAGAATCTAAACACGCTGACTTGAGAAACCATCTATGTGATGGCTACTGATAAGTGAATTTCTAGAGGGGTGGTGGAATTGCAAAGAAATGACAGAGGAGAAGGGAAAGAGAGGCGAGAATGAGATATTGACTGGGAGATAGAAAAGAGAAACAGAGAATGATTAGAAGGAAGTAATGTCCTTTTGTTTCCCATTCAGCTATTGTGTCATTTATAACAAGATTTGAAATTCTGAAACGGTAAAGCCATTACATGCTAATGGTATTTGTGTTGGATTATTTCTCCTTAATTAGATACAAGTTCCAATGCAGGAAGAATGAAAAGGCTTCATGGGAAAATGAAAGGACTTAATGGGAGAACGAAGAGTTGTATTGAAATCCTCCACATTAAATGGAAAAGAATCTAGAGCATTGAAGATATTCCTCCTAGCCATCTATAAATAGAGGAAGAGATGAAATCAACAAAGTGAGGTGAAGAAATCCTCCATGAGAGAAAGCACCCGACTGAATACCTCTAGGGAGAAGTTTGAGTGAGACCTCTCAAGGGAAGTTTGAATACCACCATTGTAGGTGATGCTTGATTATTAGATGTTTGAGTGTTAAACCTCTTTATGGATGTTTGATATTACCATCATACTTGGTGAAGCTTGATTGTACCTCTAGTGAAAGACTAGGGAAGCTTGACTCTTGTAACCCATTATTCTTATAGTGGAAGTTTGATTCTGGACTAGTGTCCCGTGGGTTTTTACTTCTTCACATTGGAGAAGGTTTTCCCACGTTAAACAAATTGACTGTGTTCTTCTCCATCTCTTTCCTCTTGCATTTTACTGTTTCGCTTCCGCAATTGACTTGAGGGTTCGACTTGACCCAACAAATTGATACTAATCATGACTAATTGATACCAATCTAATCTATTTATCAATGGAAGCTAATAAATGCTAATTAATATTACGCGAAAAACTTGGTGCGTAACATTCCCTCCCCCTATGGAGATGCAGCTTGTCCTCAAGTCGAGACGTGTCATGTGAATGGTTCAGGTGGATTCGGTTCGATGGGATCGAGCGGTAGTGATTCATCCTCCATGTAACAAAGACCCTCCAAATATAAAAGGCCCTCCATGTTGACAAACTTCTCGTCGTAGTTGAAGCATAATCCTTTGTTGTGTCATACCTCTGTCAGGCATTTGATAGGAGGCCATGTGAAAAGGGATTGGAAAGCAGCCGGGTTTGTCGGGCTTGGTGTTGCCTTGGGTGGCTGCTGAAATAGGCAGTTGTTGAGGAATGGCTCGTTGAATTGAGGCCCATACATGTGTTCCCATGCAAATGCATCATGCAAGTCAACAGGCTGATGAGCATGGACCGCCATACGCACTCGAAGTTGCAAGCTAGAGATAAACAAACTACATAAATACTCTTGATAAAGACCATGAAACTGGATGGCAAGGTTCTTGAAGACGTCTAGGTAATCGAGGATGGAGTCAATCTGATACAACTTAGTGAGGAGGGCGGTGGGATTCTCATTCTCAGAGGGACCAAGGAGGCGACCGATAGTACAAACAAATTCATCGAGATGCATTCCAGTCAGCAATAAAAATGATAGAGGAGAGAGAGAGAGAAAGAGAGAAAGGTGAGAATGAGAGATTGATTAGGAGAGAGAGAGAAGAGAGAAGAGAGAAGAGAATCAGAGAATGATTGGAAGGAAGTAATTTCTTGTTGTTTTCCATTCAGTCATTGTGGCATTTATAACAACATTTGAAATGCTAAAAAGGTAAGGCCAATAAAAATGCTAATGCATACTAAAAAGGTAAAGTCAACAATGCTATGCTGATTGATACTAATAAGGACCAATTGATATTAATCTTATCGTTTTATTTCTGGAAGCTAGTAAATGCTAATCAATATCACTCAAAGACCTTGCTGCGTAATAGCTACCTTGTTTGTTTTCTTGGGCATGAGATGGGGGCAGGGGTTTTCATCTATTATCTAGGCAGGCATAATGTAAATCACTCAACTATGAATTGTCTACTGGGTTTTTGAAGTGTTAGATTCCTTGAAAGGAGTTTTGGAGCCATATATTTATTAATAGTCTACTTTATGGTTGAATTCCTCAATTAGGGTTATAAAAATGGTTATTCTCAAAAAAGTTTGGAGTCTGGGTAGGTGGGAGAGAAGGAGGAGGAATGCCAGGTAAGAGTCAAAGACAAATGACAATTTGAATATAAACAGGTCATGATAGCTTTTGGCATGAAGATAGAGCATAGAATTTACTAGTCAAGTGGTTGATTTTTTGTCCTTTATTTCTTGAAGTATTGAACGTTTGAACCCATTTTGCAAACCTGGAATGCCCTTATGTTTTGAATTCTCCAAAAAAAATGTGATTCCAAGGGACATACGTACTATTCCAAACTTATGATTAGGAAAATTCACATAAAGCAGTGTTTACATCCTAAGTTTTTATTACATCCAATATTCTGATTAGTAAGTCTTTATTTTGTAGGACTTAATGAGAAGCACCAGCTGGAGCTAGAAAATTTGACACTAACCACACAACCTTTCAAGACATTGAAATTCTTCACATTAGCTCTTATTCAATGCATGAAGAAAACAACATTATATCTGTTGGCAAAAGGTGGGTGGCTTATGCTTTTCAGTGTTGCGGTAGTAGGGGCTCTTGGTATATTGCTGATGACCTTCAGTGGCCTCCCCGAGAAGGTATTTTTTTCAGTCAGTAACTTATGCGTGATAGTTCTGGATCAAAAAATGGCTATTATATGAAATATACTCTGTTGGTAACATGAATCTAGACATCCAACCTCTCTAAAATATGCAATAATAGTAGAAAACTTATAACCAGCCTAAGTGTTCATATTGATATTTGATATTATACTGTGAAGATTATCCTAATTAGAGTGAAATTTCTTTTGACTCTGGAAACTATAATAAGGATCGTTTATTTTATTTCAATCTTAATACACACACACTCACACTCACATATCTATATATCTTTGTTCACTCCATTAAGTAGACCTTCATTTTTTTTTCAGATAGCTCTTTTGTTCATTTTGTTTAGATACTCACTTGAACTGTATAATGCTTGTTCTTTTTGCAGCATCTTGAGGAGCTTCTTGAATATTTCCGCTTTGGACTGTGGTGGATGGCCCTTGGGGTTGCATCTTCAATTGGTCTCGGTAAGTAAATTACAGATGCACTGAGAAACTTTTCCCCATACACAGGTGATGGTTCCTGATTATGTAATTATGGTTAGTAATTAGGTTGGTCTTTAGGCTGCTTGTGTGATTTGTACTTAAGAAAAGCAATTGCTTGTAATAGGTAAATTTTATACTTGTAATTGTAAGGACTTACCAGTCCTTTTGCCATCATCTTGATCATATGCCTTGTAGTCATGAATTTGCATTTATATAAGTGTGTCTGTGCCTTTGTGGAGAGGGAATCAGTTGACATTGGTGTAAGTTAACCCCACTCTTGTACCATTAAATAATTTTCAGTTGGGTAACTTTTTTACAAAATCCACCATTGGAATGAAGGTTCTTATCATGTAGGTTGTCTTGTACCCATAAAATTTCACATCAATCCAGAATTATTTTGTACTTCATTTATATATATCAAAATTTATGTAATACATATTTTTGAAATATTTAAAATTATGAGCTATTTGATTACATTGTTACTCATGTTCAATTTTTTCAAAATTAGGTACAAATGATCAACATGATGGATAGTTATATCCAACGGTTAGATCGATGAAAATTGCATTTTATGTAAGGTTGTTAGGTGGTGTAAGAAGTAAAATCTTGTACTAGTTAAATCGATCCTTCCCTTTTATATCCATACATACACACACACACACATATAAAATAGGGAAGTAAAGTCTTACACTATATGATTATACATGATGGATAGTTATATATTGGTAAACTGTTCTCTTATCATTTTATTTGGTGCAGGATCTGGTTTGCACACGTTTGTCCTATATTTGGGTCCCCACATAGCACTTTTTACAATAAAATCAATGCAATGCGGCCGAGTTGATTTGAAAAGCGCACCATATGATACAATACAGTTAAAAAGAGGTCCTTCTTGGCTTGATAAAGACTGTTCTCATTTTGGGCCACCATTGTTCCAGTCAGTATATGGTTCACGGGTCCCACTTAGCAGCATTTTGCCTCAAGTTCAGTTGGAGGCTGTTCTATGGGGTATAGGAACAGCTATAGGGGAGCTTCCTCCTTACTTTATCTCCAGGGCAGGTATAATGTGTCTAGTTTTATCATGTGCCATTCTCTTAAATGAACAAAGCCATTGTTAAGTTGATATAATAATCTGATTTTAGTAATAGTATGCTTACCATGGGGATATTCTATTTAGTATTAACATCTAGCTTGTATTTATACTTGCTTCGTTATGGTGTGAAGGTCTGAAACTTCTGATATTTTGTTAAATCCCTTGTAGATGGAAAAGAAAAGAAAAAGTCTTCCATAGTTTTTGCGAATAAAAAACTTATTATACTATTATTAATTAACTGCTATTGATATTTTTCCAAATTAAAGGTCAATCCCAGCTTCTGAATCTTTTTTCCCCCTCGTGGGTATCTACAGAATGCAAGTATATAAGTAGGGTCAACTTCAAAGAGTATCTTATCTTTTGAAGCCCATGGGATTTTACTTTTTCTCATGTGGTCTGGAAATAATGCAGCATGTTGCATAGTCCTTTAAAATGAATGAAACAGCCAATCTTGAGACTTGGTTATGTAGATAACATAATTTTAGAAAGTTTGACTCCATCATTAAATGATGAAGTAAATTAGGTAAAATGTGAATAACTAATGGATGAAACAACTTGAATAATTGGGCCGTATCTGTTGTTGGAGAGAGAGATATTATGAATGCACCCTAATGTTTGAACTTTGTTGTATGAGAGAGTAGTCATATTAATATACCCAGGCCTCCTTTAGTTTTTATATCATAGATGACATGGGATTAAATCCATCTGATCTTAATGATATGCCTTATGACTTACTTTATCTCAATAAATTATGTTATCCTACTATCTTTTCAAAGAAAACTTTTGCAGATCAAATTTTGATTTGATAAATTATTTGGAATAATTGCTTTTTACACCTATAATGCTGTTTTCTGGTGCAAGGGTGGAAGCTACATATTTGGGTTTTGTTAGGAAAAGCTTTTGTTTTGTTTTTTATTAAAAAAAACACTAAAAACAGCTTTTTTCTATGACTATGATTCCAAGCTTTTTGATTCTTGATTATTTCACAAGGTGGACACAAGAATACTTTTTTACCCTCCAGCAGATAATATTTTAATTCATTTCATATTTATTTTGATAATTTACTACATGAAAGCAATTATTTTTACACTATCTAAACAAAATATATAATCTTGATTCTTGAAATTGCTTTTGAATTTAAAATATCAAAACATGGAACTGATTTTAAAGAAAATTGATTATTGAATAATCTTTTTTTCACAGCTAATCCAAACACAATTAATATAGTTATCTTTAGTTTTCAAATACTTTCATTTCAATACAAGTATTTTGTGATCGCTGGTTTTTAATTTCTTCCATAAATTTCTGAGGTCTTTCTTGTCTGCTTTACCCGCCTGATTAATTGGTTCATTTTTAGTAATTTAATGCTTAATTCGTTGGTCTATTTAGGAATTGGTTTGTGCGTGATTCTAATCAAATCATTCATGTAGCACGCTTGTCTGGGAGCAGAGTGGACGCAATGGAAGAGTTAGATAGTGAAGATAAAGGAGTCTTGAATCAAATCAAGTGCTGGTTTCTTTCACACACTCAACATTTGAATTTCCTTACCATTCTTGTGCTTGCATCGGTTAGTATGGACTTCATGCTTCATTTTCGACATGACCTTTTCTTCTTTCTTAAATAGTTTATACAGTTTCTTTTGCAAAAAAAATCTCTTGACGTATTACTAGGGTGTTTTAATATTAGGGGCCTTTTGTTTATGGCAACTTTCTGAGTTGGTTTGTTAGTCTTAACTCCATCACGAAACAGCATTAAACTTTTGCATACCTAAATATAATATGTATTGATGATTTACCGTAATCATATCAATAAAGTTGGTTTTCCTTTTAAGATCTCTCTATTGTGGTTTGCATCTAACTGCTGATTAGGTTCATAATCCATAGAATGCAAATGGGTAATATCTCAATTATTATGCATCCGGGATTGAAATAATATAGTAGTGATTAGCGGTTCCTTTGTTTGAGGTGCATCCTAATCTAAAACGGCATTTACTGTATATGCTTCATCAACATATAAACTGCTATTCATGAATTTATATTTTAGGTACCAAATCCTCTATTTGACCTTGCTGGCATCATGTGTGGACAATTTGGCATTCCATTTTGGAAATTTTTTCTTGCAACCTTGATTGGAAAGGCAATTATTAAAACTCACATACAGGTTTGTATAAGTTTAGACTTCTCTTACCTCCTGATTTAGCCTTTCATTTGCTTTGCAAAGACTCCAACTTTGGAAATGTAGCTTGCAAACTGCAATTAAATGGTCATCCAACATTTGTTTACATGATTTTGTGGAAAGAAGAGAGTGGCAAGGAAATATTTTTCTTGTGGGGCAGCCTGATCTTTATTATTTAACTATGCTATCATAATGGGAACTCTAAAGGTTCTCTTCCCATTAATATTTATATTCATGGCTTGGGTTCAATTCCCTGATTTTCTCTTTAAGAGGCGATATTTAATCTCATCATAAATCCTAAATGAGGTTGGTGGTTTTTCCTAGCTTTGCGTGGGGATGTGTCTTCCCCTAATCTAAATTTTTTAATTACCAAAAAAAAAATCATGCAAATGTAATAATTTTTATTTTAATTTTTTAACCGCTCTAAACTTACATGGTGCACTTTCCAAAGGTTTATGACCATTACCTCTATTTCATATCGCCCCACACATTAGCAAAAAGGATAAACGAGAACAAGGTAGAGTAATAGTTCAATAAAGAGTAAAAAAAACATTTCAATTATCCAAAAAGATACAAGTGTCATCAACAGTTTGATCCTTTAATAATATATACATTAAAACAGTCCTTCAATGCCATTTTGTTTACCTCAAATTGTCCTCCAAAGTAACCAATTTGATGTATTTATTGTTAGAGAACCACACTGATGGCACTTGTAACTTTGGAGGTCCAAAATGGGTGTTTGCTGTTCAATAAAATAAGAAATCTACTCAGGCATAAAGCTAGTAGTCTGTATATACAAGCTTTTGATTGACCCTGTATGTTAAATTCTTTTTACAGACGGTATTCATCATCTCAGTTTGCAATAATCAACTTCTTGACTGGATAGAGAATGAATTTATCAGGGTTCTCAGCCATATACCTGTTTTCGCTTCTGTCTTGCCTAAAGTGATTGCAAATCTCCATACAGTGAAAGATAAGTATCTGAAAGCACCCCATACAGTTTCCCCAAATATGCAGGTACCCATTCACTCTGATTTGAATGTTAATCTGCTCAGTAGTATTGAATAACAGCCTCACGGTCTTCTTGATTTCATATATCATCTTCAGGGAAATGATGAACTTCAGGGAAAAAAGTGGGATTTCTCATTTGCTTCAATATGGAACACTCTTGTGTGGCTCATGCTTATGAACTTCTTTGTCAAGATAGTGAATGCAACTGCCCAGAGGTATCTGAAGAAACAGCAGGAGAGAGAGCTAGCTGCATTTACGAAAAAATTTACCTTAACAGACTCAGATGCACGCTGAAATGCTCATGTTCTGCTTGTATTGCCTTTTTTAAAGCGGTTCCTCATGCAAGCAGAAAGTTGAAATTCAAATTACAACTCTATTCCTGAAGGCCCCGTAGAAGTTACTCCAAAAACACTCTATCAGAGGCCCTATTAGGAGCTTCTATAGGAATGAATATGCACAGTAGGCAACAAAAGTTGCAAGTTTTATTTATAACTCTCTAATTTTGGGGCAAGCATTGTTTGGATTTTAGATTTTAACCCCATATTAGCTACTGCTATGATGGAATTATGGGAGTCCTACTATTCTTTTGCAATGGAAAGACATTTTTAGTTCCTTTGTCTCTGACAGCGGATTGTGATTTCAACTTCTTCTTTTTTCCAGCAATGGGCCAATGAGGTTTCATGATTCGTGTCTAATTAACTTTGAAATTACGACAGATGAAAAATAGTGTAAGTAGGGCCAACCCGTTTCATTAAGCCATAGTCCGTGTCGGGTAAAATTAGTCCATGGACCATCTAAAATTATAATTTCATAAAAAAAATTTATTATATTCAATATATTAAGAAATATTTTAACAAATAAATATTTAACACTTTCTTAACATATTTTATACAAATTATAAATTTTTATAATTTAACTTTTTTAATAAAATAATATTTATACATAAATATACTAGTGAAAATGTAAACAAAATTTTAATATAAGTGAAATTTAGTAACTATCTTTACTACATTTATTATTAAAGGATGTCATCAAATAAAGATTATTAAAGAAATCATAACATAATACAACAACTGTGGAAAACTAAAAGTAACGATGAAAAAATGATCTTAATACCAGTATTGAATAACTGCTACTAGTATGCTATAAAATTATTGATTTTCTTCAACTACTACCGTTATAAAAAAAATATTTATTTATTATTATCAACAAAATTATTAAGGTGCATTGTATTTCAATACAAATTTGGATATATAACATGCTTAGATGTCAATAGAAAAATTCAATTTTATTGATGCGCAGATAAAATTCTCTATTGAAATATATCACTGCTGAAAAATTCATTGTTATTATTAAATATTATGGATGACCTTTCATATGGTTCATAACATATAACTCTTTGTTTTTCAAGACATTTGATGTATTATATAATCATTACACTAACGGTGTGTTGAATTGTAGAATACATCCAAGATGGAGTGATGTAAAATATTATGGATGACCTTTCACATAGTTCATAATATGTGACTGTATTTTTATGATTTTTGATGTATTTTATAATCATCACATTAATGGTGTGTTAAACTGTAATATACATCCAAGGGAAAGTGTACATTGTAAAAAATTATGAATGACCTTTCATGTGGTTCATAACATGTAACTCTTTGCTTTTCATGACCTTTGATGTATTCTACAACCATCACACTAATTGTGTGTTGAATTGTAATTATTCCATCAATTATGTTTAGAGTCCTATATAAGGATATGTCTTAAACGAAAAAAATAATACTTGCTGAATTTAGAATATAATAATATTTCTTTCATACTTGTTCTTATCTTATTCTTCCTTAGTTTTTCTTTTTACACTTCATTTTTCTTTCTATCATATTTCATTTTCTCTTATATTTTCCATCAAATTCACAAAAATTTTACTTATATTATTTTAATAATTTATTTTATAAATATAAATATTTAAATTTATATATTTTTTAATTTTTTAAATAATAAAAATTTTAATGAAGAAAAAAAGTTTAACTCGCGGACCAGCTCTAACCTAGCTCGCTAAATTATAGGACTTTGAGGGTTAGAACTAGAAAATGCCCTAATGGGTTTGGGCCAAGTATTAGATTTTGTGGGCTGGCCCATGAGCTTCAACCCATTTTGATACCTGTAAGTGTAAGGACTCAAAATTTGGAAAACAGGTCGTCACTAATTTATTTATTTTTTCAATAATCTGGCCATCACTAATTTTAATAAAATTAAAATGGACACAATAAAAATGGACTTTCTTTAACAGTTGGAGCTACTGCATTTTTCAATTTATGATTCTAAATTTATCAATTTTTCTTAAAAATATGATTTTGTAGAAAATTTATTGTGCATATCTTATAAATTTTTAACACTTGATATGTTTAAAGTGAGATATATTTTAGACGAAAAAGTGAAAAATCATAATTATCCATTAAAAAATTAAGAGCAGATATTTAAACAATTTTATTATTTATTATACATGTATATATAATTTATCATAATTTTATTATTAATTTTTTAATAATAATTATAACTCTTGATTCACTCTTCATTAGAAGATTCAAATCAAAACTTTCGAGTCTGTTCTCTCCCTCTTACTGTTTGTTCTAATATAAGATTGTCTGCATGAACAACAATAGGGAAATACTTTTTATGTGGAAGAACACCATATGATCTGCTATGCTTTCTACTATAATTATAAGACTTTTTAAGAATCCGTCCTTATTTGGTAACTTGGGCTACGGCAGTCAAACTGTATAGCACCTCCACAAAAATAATGATAGAATGGGTTATGATGTCCCCAAAGTCCATCACACAAAAATTTGTGGTTAATGGCTGTCTTAGGCGTTATTTTAATGTTCATTTATGATAATCATAACAATCCAATATACCACTTAACAGTTTTATATAATTATTCGCCATAAGTAAATAATTAGCAGTCCCAGATTCCCGGTTGGCGAAGCATATCCAATTTGTGTGCATGGGGTTCGAATTATTCTATGATTGAGTCTTCCAATAATTTAAAAAAAAATTAATAATAGTCCTACACTTTGGTCTTATGTGTTATTTAATTTCTTGGAACTGATGGAATAAATATCAATTGGAGTATTGTAAATAGAACAATATTATCTTTATTCCCTTGAAAATTTCTTAAACTTAATAACGAATATACTCAATTGAGACAATGTCCAATTGTTAAAGTAACTTAAAAGCATTCCATTAATGAATCATAACTGCTGCTCTTGAGTATTGAGATTTGAGAAACATGTTGACCTAATGAAAAGGAGAGAAAGATATCACAATCTCTTGCTCTGACAAAAAAAAACAAAAAACAAATAACAACAAATTATTATTGGTTTCGTGTGCTGTGAATCCCAATCCCCCACCGAAAGCGTCGCTTGCAACTGCGTGCTAGAGTGGCAGCACTGTCACGGTAACTCGCAGAACGCCTACAGTAAATTCGGTGTATCTTTAATTTATATTATGACATGTGTCTTATTTTGTCAAATTAATAATAAATAATTAATTTAAAATTAAGAAAAAGAATAATTTAATATAAAATAAGACAGTATTACAATATGAACGAAAGATTCACCGAATTTTCAATACATCTGTAGTACCAAAAATATTCTCGCAAGTCATAGGTCCCACTAACATCGTAATAAACTGTCGGCATCTGCGCACGTATTGGGGACCATCCTTCAATGGTGGGGCAGCACAGCACTTAATACAGCCCTCTAGCCCACGCCACTTTCTTCCCTTTTATTCTACAATTTATAATAAATAATGATCCTACATTTTTTTTTATTACAGTCAAGATTAACGATAAATAATTCGAAGAATTAAAAAATTTAAATCTTTTACATATAATTTAGTTAGTTTTGCATTCAATTTTAAAATTTATGAAATATCATTCTCAATATTATTCAAACAATATTTTACTGAATGAAAAGTTTATATTTATTTAGTTTTATTTTATCTAAATAAATGTATCTTACTATTAATTTTGTCAAACTTAACAGTCAAATAGATATTTCAGCCATAATGACAATTTAAAAGTGGAAGAAGATAAATAAGGTGAGGTCACATCTGTAGGATTTCAGTTTTGAGGAAGAGAAGACTGAAGGGCTATGGCCTATGGGCGTGGAATTTTATAGACAGAAGAATTAAACTAAATAGAGAGAGAATGGATCCTTCTCTCATGACAAATGAAATTTTTGTATTTCTTCCTTTCTTCACGTATATTAACGGGTTTTTTTTTCTGTTGTATAAGAAAATGAATTCTTCTTACATATATTATAAAAAGATGTATCACTTTTTATTTTTTATTTTTTTAAAAGAAATGAATCCCACACTTAATATATCTATAACATGAGATTAAAATTTTTTACAACATAAAATTTATTTTTCTCTATATTAAATAGATGAAATTTAATTATCATTAATAAAAAAAGATATATAAAATTCGTAAGATCAGATATAAGAGGATGCACTTCCAACTTCCAAATAAAGGACAAACAAGTGTGTGGGGTCCACTTAACCGGGTTTTGTCCTCTTTTGTAACGTTGTTGTCCTCCCTCACACTAAACCAAAAGGAGAAAAGAAAAACCGTTAGTAGTTGGGATCCCTTTTTGCGTGTCGTGGATGGTCCTTATGGCATAAGGGCATTGTGCCCTTGTCTCTAGAACAGTGATTATTTTGTTCGCAAAAAAAATTATCAGACTGTTACATTAATAGTAAATTTTGTCAAAATATCACGTAGCATATTTTGCTATACTGTGTAGCGAAATATGTGTGCAAATAATTCGCTACACAGTGCAACAAAATATGCCACGTCAGAACCAAAAATGTCACGTGTTTGACACTGGACATTTTTGGTTCTGTGCATTCTGACGTGGCATATTTCGCTACACTGTGTAGCGAATTATTTGCACACATATTTCGCTACACAGTGTAGCGAAATATGCCACGTGGCATTTTGGCAAAATTTACTGTTGGCGTGGCAGTCTGGTAATTTTTTTTGACAACAGTAGCACTTTGGTCACTGTTCCCTTGTATCTTATCCAGTTATGGGCTTTTTTATATTTAATTTTTTAATGGGCGAATATATATATATATATATATATATATATATATATGAGGGAGGATCCACTTACCACCACTAAAATATACCACATTTACAATCAATTTGATCACTGTTGGGTTAAAATTAAATCCAACGGCTCACGATTAATCCTTATAATCCTAATTTTTTACCTTTCATTCTCTCACATCTTCTCTCATCCTCTCCCAACTCTCTCTAGGCCTTGTCGTATTTGATCCTCTCCCATCTCTCGTATTTGAATCATAATTGATCTTAATCTGAACCATCGTGGACATGTGAATGAATAATGATAAAAGAAAACCCTCACAAAGGGGACACTAAAAGACCAACTTTACCTAGAATTATTTTCTTTACCAAGCATTTTATTAATCGCAGATCCACACACAAATTCTAGGTTAGTTTCATTTGTTCTATGTGGAAGGTGTAGTATACCTGCTGAG